TTAAGCAGTTTGAAGTGCCTTGAAGTTAGGTGAGATGGATCCGTGGGCTGGTGAGCAGTGATTTCTTGTGGACCTCGCTAAACTTTCATGGAGCTGCTTAAATACAGATATGTTGTTTAATAAGGAAATGAGAAACCTGTGGGAAAACAAAGAATATCAATAATCTCAAGTACTTACATCTGGCAATAAAGTTTTTGGAAAAAAAAATCAGTACAGCAGCTTGTTGCCTTTGAAACTTATTGCTATTAAAATGTTCAACATGAAGTTTCTATTTTTAAAATAGCAGTTGAAAGAAATGCCCAAGATTAATAAGAAACTAAATTGAAACCATGTTAGTTCATAGGTAATGCAGTCAAACATTGAGTTAATGGGGAAGCATTTGCGGGGAGAGCTGTGTGCGCACTCTGGTTTGTAGCGCTGCTTGTTTGTTTTTTATTTTGTCTTTCTTAGAAAGCAGAAGGGGGTAGAAATACCAGCCTGTTAAATATTTTATTTCCTTTTTTAGGCTGTTGTTCAGTCCAGTTTATTAGGCTTTCTGAAACAGCATGCTATGATAAGTTAAGACATCGTTTACCACCCCGATACACAGGGAATTGCTAACTTAAACCATTCTATAGCAGAGCCGGACAACAGACCTGCCCAAAAAAGCCTCTAGGACACATGAGAAGATGTAGCAATTATGTGGATACAGATGGAAAGGAGATTTGAGCACAGTGCCATTTACCTGGTAGGGAGAAGGTACCTGACCCAGGCAACCAAGAGAGCTGTCTGTCTCTATTGCCATCAGAGCTGATGCTGTTTAGAACAGGCATCTCTCTTTCATCTGCCTCCCTCTCCCTGAAAAAAACAACCAGAAGAAAGGTGTTGCTCCTCTATGGAAGAGTTTGCAAAAGTAGTTACAGATAGATGTCTTTTTCCAAGATAACCACAGCTTTGTGGTTATCTAAATATTATATCTTAATAATATCTTAATCATCTTAATAACAGTAATTACTAGCTCAGAGGATGGGATAGATTCATGTACTTGCTATTAGATGAAAAGAATGAGCTTGAGCAGGAGTAGGAGAAGTAGAGTGTTGGTTAGTTGGTCCCTGGAGAATACTTTGGTTTCCTTGGCACTGTGACCATTCGCACCATGTAAAGATCTGGCCCACTGACTGAGTTTGGATGATTCATGCCAGCTGCAAGAGCTGTCTCGTATGGTTTTTATTTTCTCTCAGATTATTATTATCATTATTATTTATTTTAAGTCCAAAAGGAACTGACTGTGTGGTAATACTAGCAAAATGAGCACTGGAGGACCTTATTAACAGCCTGAAGGAGAATATGCGGATAGTTATTTGCTTCGTGAATTGTTAGCAGAAGCAGTGAATGTTACCAGCCTGCACTGCGTGGAGCTGAGTATGGAATAACCTGCAGTGAATAAACTACAGAGCAAGGAGTGTATATTTACTTAAGAGAGATGTCTATAAAATATTGTAGTCATAAATGTATTTATGTACATTTATACGTGTATTATTTCCCTGTACTAATACTTGAATGTGGGGTTTGTATTTCATTATGAGTTTGATTCAAAATGTACCTTTACGGGGTTGAATTAACATGAGGTATGAAGGCCTCATCAACAGCATACTGAAGATGGCAGGATGCTTTCCAATAGCTGTGGTTTGTTTTAGTGAAGTGCCCCATGTTACTCATTGTGTTCCTAAAGTCCACTAGGGAGGTTCCTGCCTTGCCATGTTGCCACCAGGGTGTAAGGCAAGGGGAACCGAGAAGCAGACTTGCCCATGCAGTGAGGTGACAAACATAAGAAAACCAAGAACTTGATGAGACAGGAGGACAGGATAAAGCCAGGGCAGTTTCTGCTGCATGATGTGTTAAGGCAGCGCTCAGGCAACTCTAGCAGTGACCTTAGCATCCTTCCATGCCAAAATGACCTCTAGAAGTGCTTTGCAAGACTAGGTTTCTGGCTTACTGCTCTTGAAATGTTTGATTTTCAGCTGTGTGTTGCATTTGTTGTAGAAGCTTTAGGTCTTATGTTTGTGCTCACAATTGATGTTTGATGAACCCTGTTATTTAGGTAGTGCCGCCTAGGTTTGGTGATGGGGGAGGATACAGACAGTGATAAAAGAACATTGGGGAAAGCCACAGGGTGTCTGGGGAGAGACCTGCTAGTCTTTAACAACACAACATGAAAAATTTCCAGCTTAGTGTTAGCATTGTTCTGCTTTTGTAAATAAACAAGTTATGTAAGTTGAAAGGCCTCAATGAATTAAGCCCTGCAAAAAGCCCATGTGAACAACAGGAAGACGGGCATGAACTGTCTGATGATAGCATTCCTAATTAAATCTTATTTTGTATGTGTGTGTCCCAAGTTGTTTGATATTAAAAAGCAAACAAATAACCCTCACAATTTTGAATGTTAGCTCCCGTTTTTTCTCATTATTTTCACAGATGCTGAGCTATTTTTTTGAGCACTTTAGTATCCCAGAGTAGTCATCTATGTGTTACATGCCGTTGGTGGCATTGGTTGGAAAGTAGAGCTTTGTTGAAACTAAGTTTCAGAATGAGTTTGCAAACCCCATCAGCGTGTGAGAGGCAGCAGTTCAGCACTCACAGTGAAGCTGGTATTCCGAGAAGTTCTACTTTGGAAGCATCAAAACATTTTGATTATGAAATGTGAAAATGTGACACCTGATAGTTCTGATTTTATATTATCACAGGGTATAATAATACTGAGTAAGGTATAACAGTGTATGCATGTGGTATATATTAACATTTTTTTAATGTAATATGTATGTATGAGTTGAAACAATGAAATATGGCAATACTGTGAGAATAAAAATATATGAGTCAAGATTAACTCGGGCAAAATATTTAGCTGAAGTCAGTTTCTGTAAAACAATTTGGTACTGAAAAAAAGGTGTTTATTATATAAAACTAATGCACCAAGCTGCTCCTAACTTTCAAATGAGTTTCATTATTATAAGTGAAACCAGTGATGCCCAACAATTTCCATTGTAGTAGCCTCTAATGTTGTTAAACTTTTACCATGCATGCTGAAATCATACATGCTGAGATCTGCTTCAGGCTAAATTATTTGGAAATGATCAGCAGAAACTGTTCAGTATTTCTGAGCATAAGGAAGAATACATTATTTTCCTTACAGAAAATACATTGCAGCTGTTTCAGAGGGGAGCCTTAGGGAGAAATACTGTGGGATAGACTTTTGGCCTCCCTTGTGAGTGTCTGCCCTGATTTGGCCACAGAGTGAGCTTGTTTGATGCCCATACTGACATGTTCTCAGTGTTGGAGCTCAACTAAACCTGTTGGCCCAAGGAAGGTTGAGTGGAAGCAGGGATTGGGATCTGCTGTGTCCCTCCAGCAGCTTGGGGAAGAAGAGCTGTCCAAACATATCGAAAACATCTGTACTGGGCAGGCAGGTAGTAGTGCCTGAACTGCTGGCTTTGCCAGGAGTCTTGTGGAGTGCCATCAGCAAGTAGAAAGAAAAGCACCTTCTGAAAGGCTGTGTGTCCGTCTCAGGAGCAGCAGACACAAGTGCTTTCTCATTCAGCCCTTGTTCTGCCTCCTGGTGCTGGTGGGAGAAGAGAAACTGGGAACTGGCAGCATCCAGCAGAAGGCAGATACGGGCAGGAAAGTGCCGGTGTTTGGGGAAAAGCTGTTACTTGTTGCAAGTGTCACTGTTTTGCTAAATTGGATGTGAACTGTCACCCGTTTCTCCTTCAACGCACATCCTTGTCCCATTAACCGTGTTGTTTTTTTCAATCGCTTTGTTAAATATATAGGCAAAGTTTGGAAGAGAACAGCAGCTGTAGGTACCTGCAGTTCTTGCTGATCTCGTTAGTCCTTTTTAGCAAGGGGAGATCAGCTAGTCTGTAGCAAAGCAAGTTTGCTCTGTGGGACATCAGCCATTCCTTCTGTTCTGCTCCAAACCTCCAGTCCAGGTCTTAATGCAGACTTGCATCATGGCCATGTCCTTGTTGGCAGAGAGCAGCCTATGGTGCCAGATGTGGTGGAGCAGTGGAAACGTTGTGAACACAAAGAAGGTAGATTTTGTGGCTCTGAGAGCCAAATGGTTGGCCAGAAGTAAGGCTTCATTAGAGGCATGGCTGAAGAACGCTTTCTCTAATGACAGGTCTGCTGGCTGACATGCAGATGCTCTTTTGAACATGTATGTAGTGGGACTGCGTGCTGCTAATTCATTACACATAGCTGCTTGCTTGAGATTGCTAGTTGAGACAGATCATCTGTACTGATTGAAAAATGGCATTGTTGAAATTAGAATTCTGCTAAAACTTTAGAATTGAGGCATTTCCTCGACTACATTAGTCTGAGCATTACAACTAAGGGACTGGATTGACAGGACTCAGTGTCATGACTGGGAATTGACACGGGAGCAATTTGCTGATGCCTGGGAATAGGGCTTCCCCGAAAATTGCCAGAAATGGCAGGATTTGTGGTTAATTTCTTCAAAAATCTGCAGGATTTGTGGCTGATTCCTCCCATTTCTGAGTGAGATGGGTGCTCCCTGTGCAGGTGCTGTGAGGACAGGCCAGGGCTGCCCGTGCTGTGTGGCTCCATCCAGCCCCAGCACCTGCTGCAGGCAGTGTGCTTGCATGGTGAGATGGCTTCATGTGGGGGAAAGGAGCCCAGCAAGCACCAGCAGGAGGGCCTGAATCAAACTGTGGCAGCCTCTGTGTATCAGAATTTATGTTTCCCCTGCAGTCCAGAAAAGCTTCATGGGCAAAGTGTCACACAGAGGTGGCCAGGAGGGGTTCCACACTGTGGGAACAAAGAGCGGAGCTGCCGGACGGCTCTGTGTGAAGCCTGCATTGCTCAGAGCCTCAGGGCTCACCTTCTTCCCTTGGGCCACATGCTGTCCCCATGGCCCATCACTCCAGCGCTGGCTCTGAATGTGGAATGCAGCCTGGCTGTCCGGAGCAGGCAGCTAATTACAGCTTTAATTTTATTGTGTTTAGCAGGAGACAGAGCTCCAGCCTCTGCTAACTACAGATCTGAAGACAGGCATGAGAGCAGATAAGAGGCGTTGACAGAGTGCATGGGCCTGTGGCACGCTGCCCGTCAGGTGAGTAAAGCCCGCTATTGATGAGCCGTGTGAAAGGGCGACTATTGCTGGAACAATATATGGAGATAGATACAGGTGTACATCTACATACACGTACAGGCATTACACACAGAAAAACATTTGTTGCTATGTGTTGGTAAAAGAATTGATTAAAAAAAAAAAGGAAGGATGGGCTAAGAAAGATGTGCTTTACATTGCGCTTGTGGACAAACATCCTTATGTAATACATGCTTCGTTTCCTCTGGCAGCTCCTCACATCGGCTACAAATATCTAAGCAGCAGAACTTAAAACCATCTGGCACCTAAATAATGTCTTGTGATGCCTGCAGTTTTGTAGCAAGTATAAAAAAAAATGCATTTTGAGGCAACAGAAATGAGCTATTATTATGCAGTAAGAAAACAAAAGCAAGAGTCTTCTCTTAGCTGTAGATATTGTAAAATGTTTTCATTTTGAAAATGACAAGCTGTAGTTTTCTTGCAAATTACGACCCCTTCACTTTAAAATACAAACAGCTGATTTATATCAGTTGAAGATCTGTTTTTGCATTGCTGATTTTTTTATGCAGAATTCTTGGATTTCACTAAATTGCTGTGGTAGATTTTACCATAAATATTCAGATTTAGTGATACATTATTCCTTGAGTAATTCCATTTATTTCAGAGCTTTAACAGTGCTCAGGAGGCCGGATTCCTCTGGAAAGAGAAAAAACTGATCAATTTTGAAATATGGTTAGTGGGAATGTTACCACTGCTTGTGGTGAACTTAATTGCTGTAGTGTCAGCTCTGTTCCTTGTTCCACACGCCATATGTTGGTTGGTGATCAAGTTGGGCCTTGTACAGCACCTCTTGAAATTGATAGAAGCCTTTCCTCTGACTTCATCGGGTATTGGGTGCTTAGGGATCTTGAACTGGATCAAATAGCAGCTATTAATGTAGCCTGGCCTTCTTCCAGCTTTAGTTACTGCCCGTGGTGCTTATGCAATCTGTTTTGTGTGTAATTTTCTCTCATTTCATAAGAGAAAGAGAATGACTCAGAGCCATGCAATGCCACTTGGTATTTTTGTTGGTATATTGTCACTTACCTCTTTCCGTGAAGATAAATCCAGCAGCCATCAATCTACTGACCCTTTCTGTAAGTGTTGACATTGCTGAAGACTGGTGTTACATTTATATGATTGAAAAAAATGATTAGGAAAGTTCAAATGATTTTCATGCTCTCTTCAAATACTTACGTTTCAAAATTGGGGTAGTGTTTGGTGCTATTGGAAGAGTAAATGCAAAGCATTTGTCCACATCTCAACAATATACTGGAGGCTTCAATGGAAAGATCCTGTCTTGGTGCTGAAGGAATATCAGAAATGAAGCTGGTTGATATAGTTCCAATTTAAGACGGTGTTGGCCCTTCTAATTTAAATTCCAGACAAAGGAAAATAGAATAAAGAAAATAACTTCAGGCAGTGTTTCAAGTAAATAGTTCACAGGTTTCTGCACTCTGTTGAGAGCTGAAGAGCAGGCACACAGTCTGTCAGGAGCCTACCAGCATTGCAGACATGTGAATTTGCTGTTGTAGATGCTGTATGTGTTTTCTGCAGTACTGACTGAAGAGGGTAAGAAAAGCAGCGTCCAGAGTTTGGTAACTCTCCTCACAGTAGGAGTTTGCTCACAGATCCATTTCCACCAGCAGTTTGTTCAATTCTCTGCTTTTTTCCTCTGGTTGTTTGAATGAAACAGGTGTTTCACAGTGAGACTGAGTGCTTACAGCTCTAATCTCTCTCTCTCACAAATGAGTCTTTTGTACTGTCTGGTGGATTAATAGGGGGATGAGGTGCTTAAAAAAATAAACAGTGAGTGCAAACAGTAGGAAGGAAGGGGGAAGGAGTAAAGCTGCATGTGGTTGATTGAGCAAGGTGACGTCATTTATTTAGCAGAAGTGATACAGGAGTCAAGAGATGCTGTAAGAGGAAGGGCTCCTTTGAAGGAAACAGTGCAGCATACCACCGAGGGTTAGTATACCACCAAGTGTGAGGCAAACCACAGCCTGTTAGTGCTCATCAAGGAAAGTTCATTGGTTTTGAAGCCTTGGAGCTCAGGTGCAGTGAAAGGAAATAGGGGCTCATTGTTAAGGAAGAGATCAACACTCCCTTTTGTTCCTTCTCCTGCCCTCTTGTCCTTTGGCACTACAGTAGTAACATCTTGTCACTCCTAATACATGTTGGCATAGGTCACATACACTGATGGATGTTCAGTCAGTGAATGTACTAAAATGGTTTGTTTCTGTTGATGTATGCCTTTGTAGGCTTCTCTAACAGGAATGTAAATAAATGAACCCTTCACTAGTGATTTCTTTCACTGTAGTCCAGTTTAACCCCTGAGTGCACCCTTGGTAAGAGGGAGGCAAAAGGTGTACTGTATTATATTGTTTCTGCCTTTTGTTTAGATTTAGTTTGCTGTCTGGGTATTCAGGTAGCTTTCTACCTGCAAGGCAAGTTTTAAAAGTCAGCATTCAGTAAAATGAGGTTGAGAAATCATGGGTGTGCAGTCAAGAAAGGTAAGAGCCTAATGTCTCCTGAGAGTACTGAGAAGATTTCTCATGGCCTCACTGGGAAGCATAGGGATGAAGACAAGCTTTTCTGATTCACTTACTTTAAGCTTTGTGGGAAACCAGGTTGGTATGGATTTGTGAATTGTGGAACTGGAATATTTTTTTTTCATTGGTGTGTAAACACTGCGGTGGCACTTGTCTTCAAGACACTGAAACTCCAAAACATCTTCAGAAAATACCCAGAACAAATTATTTATCATTAATGATTAACCATAAACAGCTTTTATGGAGGAGGTAGGTCCTGATGTATTTATTCACAAGAGATTTTTTTTCTCCTCAAATGTATTGAGAGATTTGAGAGATTTGAGTAGGTTGCAGAGCTACATTCTGGACTTCAAAGTGTTCATAGCTGCTCATACTTTATCTACAATACTGGAAATACCATCTTCTGTAATCATTCATTTAAAGAATGATTTAGTAACCATTGGCCAAACCTCTGTTTTCTTGAAGTCTACTCTTAAATTTAAGAAGCCTGTTTTTTAGAGAAATTTGTAGACCAGCAGTAATAAGCTTCTGGTGAAGACAGAAATGGAAGGCAACAGGGCTGATGCTGTCAGCATAATTTCGATCGTATTTGGATAAATTGCAGAACTGATTACAGTTTCCCTCCCATCGGACAAATCAATCACAGAATAGGGTATGCTTGCACAGTAAAGGCTGAGAACTGTTAGAATATCATATGCTTGTGCAGAAATGCTCGGTAGGTACAGAGCACTGATATGATCAGTGTAACCTTATAACAAGTTCACGTGTTGGGACAATAAATGTTTCTTTCGTCTTATGTATGGAACAAAGGCAATTAAAAATAGCCTTCTCTCTCTTTATCTTCTTGAATATGGAAGGTGCAAATGCCAGATTTTGCCAAGAGACCAAAAATTGTCAGAAGTCATTCCTTTATAAGGTATTATTTTAAAATCTCATCTGCTCTGTAGTTCTAAATGCAATCATACTCACTGAGGGAAGAAATATTTTTAAAACATGCTGTTTAGCATAGGTCCTTGGTGCCCTGCTAATTATGTACTGTTTAGAAGCTGTGTTTCAGAATAGAGAACTCTGTGCAGCCATCATCTTCTCATGTACATTTGTGGTGGTGGCTAGATGGAGGCTATGAGGACACTGGGACTGAGCATCCAATATTGCCATATGATTTGTTATTTATGGTTGCAGTATAGTAACGTGCAGCACCAGATGTGAGAAAGAAGAAGGAGGGGTGCAAAAGAACTTCAAATGACCATGATGAATAGCTGAAAGTGAACAGAGGGGCTTTTAAATACCTTTAAAGAAAGCCTAATGCTCTGCTTCCCTAAGCAGCAGGCTGCTGATGATGGAAAAGTCACAGACATACCTGCAGAGATTTGGGAAGCTCTTGTTTCAGTGGGTCTTTATGGCAGCTAAAAAAATGTTTTCTGTGCTTCTGCCAACTTGGTTAGTGTGTAGAAGTTACATCTCTTCCTTGCATTTTAGGGACAGCATGCAATGACTTGGACAGTGTCAACTTCCAAATTGCATTTATTCTTTGTGCCTCGCTGTGTCCAGTTAGCAACTCCCAGCAATGCCAGGCTTCACTTGTACTGATACTTCACCATATGAATCAGGATGGATATATTGTGAATAAGTGATGTCAAACAGAACAAAGATTTTACTGGAGGAGTAATTATTTGTATCAGAACCATTGCCAATGAGACTGAATTCAAGTTTCATGTAATAATCTTCTTGTCCAGTGCACCATTAAGGTGTGAAACATGAAGGACTCGAGCAGAGCTTTTTTGAGGGCTCTTGATCCCTGGCTGCATTTCATTTCTGATGGCAGCAGAAAACACCATTCCCATGAAGCCCCGAATCTTCTTTGTCTCATTAAAAGCAGCATACATTAGAGACTTTATTTGACAGGTACCATCTGTACTTCATTGACAGCATCCTTGAATCCCACATCAGTATAAATTATGAACTAATTAAGTGTTCTTGCGATATCCCCACAGGCTTTCTCCCTTCTTCCTACCATAGTATGCATGTGTTCTGCAGGGCTTGCACAAGTGTGCTGTGGTTGTCTGGGTTCTGGAGGAGAGGACAATTTGCTGCATGGAAGTGAGATCACTGAGTGGCTGTAGGTACAGTGGTATGTGGGCAGCCAGGTGTGTAAAATGTGGCACAAAAAGCTGTTCTGAGTGCTGCCTTCACCCATCATTTCTTTGGTTTATGCTGGTTGTGTTGACAGGGGAATGCATGCTAGGAGCCTTAGCTCTGAAGTTAACACAGGTTTTGTGTGGGTGAGCTAATTGGCATAGCAGGCCACACCTCCTCATGCAGACATTTAGGAAATGGTAAAGCAAATAATCCCAGTGGTGCCAAAATCAGAGCGATAGCTGATGAAGCCCTGATGGGGAGAACAGCCAAGTA